CAGCAGTAGTGTTTCCCCGCTGGGAAAGTCGAGTGAGGGCGGTGGAAGGACCCGGAGTTAACAGCTGAGGCTCAGAGCGTTCATTTCAATGGAGAATGTTTTCTTCCTGTGCTTTATCTCGTTTCCTTCCTGCTTGAAGAGTGCCACCCTCTAAAACATTGGAGAGCAGGCACTGCTTCAGAAGTGGTGAATCCCTCTGAAGGTAACCCTTACGTGGCTGGTTTTGTTTTGCGCAGCATTAACACATGCGCTGGTACTTCTTGGCTTTGTAACTGACTTGCTTTTTTTGATAAATGGTAATAAAAAGCTTTTATCCGTCCATGCCTGGCTTGAGCATTAGGTATGTTGCCAATAGGTATGTTAACTGGTTGCTAAAGATACATGGCCAGAACTGACTAAACAGAAAGGATGCCTGTTACCTAAAAAAGAGTTTATTTGAATTAGGACCAAGCAAAGACCTGGCGGGCAACTGTCTGAACTTGAAAGTGGTAGAGGTTTGGTGGTTAGGATAGTATTGAAGTGGGAGATGTGTGCTTGCCTCTAGCTAATGCTGTTGAAATGGCAGCATTAGTGGATGCTTGCAGTTTATCAGAAATCAGGAAAAGCTGAGGGGAAAAAAAAAAAAAAGATGTTTCTGATAGTGCAATGTGTGCTGCGGCGTTTTCTTGTAAACATTCAGTCCTGTGGCTTGAATTCACCATATCCCGATCTGCTCCTGCTTGCCTGGAATGCACCACTCCCTTTCAGCCTTTCCTGGAGCAAGCCATTGTCTCTTCACCCTGGAATTCAAGTGAAGAGGCTTAAATTGCCACTGTCTGATGGCCCTACAAAAAAAGGCCATGCCTGAAGATAGGAGAGGGAAGGTTTTGGAGATTGAAGGTGTCTGAAATCAGTAGGGAATGTGGATGCGAAATGTCTGAAATTAGTAGAGAATGAAACTATAAAATGAACACTGTGAGCATGTGAAGGACCTCGGACAAAAGGACGAAGGAGTGTGTGTAAAGTAATAGGTTTGGCTGCCTGGAGTGGCCGGCTGCACCAAGAGAGCTGTAGAGGAGATGAGTTTCTGAGTATTGGATTCTTGAAATAAGCTGGGAAGCTAGAACCAGAAACTATGTATTGTGGGGTTCTTAATTCATAGTTTTCATCATACAGTAAAGAAGTTCCTAATTTCCATGAGATGGCTCTGCCTGATAACGTAGATTACTTCCAACTTTCATCTCTGCCAATCACCTGGGCCTGCCGTAATGAAGCACTCTCCAATACATGGACATCAATTATGCACATTATTAGTCAGAAAGCAAAAGGTTTTGGCCTCATCGGCTCACAATAGTTTTATTTATGGGACTATAGCACACTTACAATTTATTTCATGCTTCTTCCCACTTGTCTTTCAGCATATTCTAGGCGAAGAGTAAAATGGTTTGTTAAAGCATGCGTTTTCGTAGGGTAGGACATGTTTATGGACTGCACCTTCTCTAAACATGGAGCTTCAGTGGGGGAGGAAATGGATATCAGTCTCCTTCCCTGAAGATGACTCTGAGCTGTTATTTTGCCTCTCTATTGTAAAACTTATAGTTATCCGCTCAGTTTCCTCACTTCCCTATCCCCAAATCCCTTAGACTTCCAATGGGAAAAAATAATTACATTCATGCAGCAAACCAGTGAGTTTACCATCCTTTCAAAAATCTTACCTAATACAGTCTGCTTGTGAGATACTTAAAGGTACTTAAAAATTTCACCTGGTTACATACATCCATTTTTTGTCTTAGAACCGTGGTTGTAGGGCCATATTCAGCATAGATGGTAGAGCATACCCACGTCCTCAGCACTTCGTTCTCTGTCCTCAAGCCTTTTTTTTTTTTTGAAGTTCACCCATAGAAAGAAATCTTACCAAGGACACCCTTTTTGACATCTGGTCTACTTCTACCACTTCCTTTATGCTCTTGCAACTATTGAGAACTTGAGGTTAGAATTGGTGATGGTATGGTCAAGTCCTTCTGATGCATTACATAAAATCTTGTCCTCGGGCAAGGCTTAAGGGGCTAGCTTTTTAACCCCTTTCTATAAATCTAATCTCTTGAATACTATTTTCCCTGCCTTCTCCTTTGACAGGTGCCATTATCCAAGATGGTATTTTTGTTTAAAAATCTATGCACTAGAGTAGTCCTTTGGAGATGACAAGGTAACATTATTTCTCGGGGAGTTTTGAGCTGTTTGTTTTAATGACATACACAATAACAGTTTGATGTTTCAGCAACTTTTCTAATTGCTGTTTTGTGCGTGTGTTTTTAAACGTACCATCTACAAAACTGATAGACTATTTGTGAAGAGGAATAGCATAAAATTATGTATTTTTGCACTGCTTCAGGAGTCAAAAAATTCCTTTTATATGTATTACAACTCACTTATCTATGACTCTAAACTTTTTATCTTTTACGACTCAGTATCATCCAAGAGTGCAAAATATATTTGAGATTCAGAATGCGGTAATACTGAAACTTGATATTTAACTTTCAGAAATTTGAAACGATTTCTTTTGAAGGAGATGCCTCAAAGAAGGAAAACCAGAAAAATAAGATTCTCTTAAAATGAACTAATTACTTATGTAACAAGAAGTTGGTAGGTGTGAAAATCAGGTGGTTTCTAACTGCAGTACTTTGCAAAATAAAGTCACTGGTGAATATTCAGAACTCTTGAAGCTGGAGCTCAAGAATTTAAGGTGTGTGTGGACTGTCAAGTGGTTTAAAAGCTTATCTTTCGGATAAATTCTGCTTCATCCCTTTGTTCAACAGTTAGTGGCAGGCTTTATACAGATCCACTGCAAAACAAAGAGTTGGCTTAACAAATAAGTTTAGTTGTACAATATTGCATAAGACATAACTGAAACAAGTAGACATGTGAAAGTGTTGGAGTATATGCTGATCTGGTAAGGAAAGTCGCCAAAACAAGTACTGGAAGTTTATGTGCTCGAGTATATAGCTGGAATGGTGATTTTTTTGTTGTTGTTGCTGTTGTTTTTTGCTTGATGCTCTGGACAAGAGAGTAAAACACAACAGCTGAGAGCTTCTGATTCTTCAGTGGCTGCCAAGAGTTAACAGGACTGTATTTGGAAAAATCACTCTCTGCCTAATGAAGAAATAACAGCGCTTCATACCAAAAAAGAGCATTGTTGTAACTACTACAACTGGTGGCAAACAAAGCATCAGTTATTTGCCTGAAGCATTATGGCACATCAGCAAGAAGCAAGAGTGGGTGTCTTTGTGGAGCCGATACTCAAAAGCCTCAATTAGTTAGGACTTTACCCACATTGATAATAATTACTACTAATAATAACTGATACTGTAATGTACTTTGAAAAGTACTTTACATGTTTGCTAATCCTTAGGGCTATTTTGTAAAGCAGGCAGGTAACAGGGGAATCTGGGTTCTGAAAGTGGTACGATTGTGCATCCTGTAAAGTTCAGGTGCTCAGGGTTAAATACCAGTGGTCTGATTTTCATTGGCGGTGAGATTGAGCTGCTCTTGTTTCAATGACATGGGTGTATATGCCTTTATTGAGAAGATTGGGCTGAGCTCCTAACTTGGGATAACTTCAAAATCAGAAGCAACTTGTGACATACTCGCTTCAACCAATTGTCTGAAATTATGCACAACACCAGTAGCAATGAATCCTGTTTTTCTTGTTAGGTGTTCCATTACCCAACACTTAGAATGTGGTACAATTGTTAAAATAGAATAAAAAATATCCCATTCACAAAATTCTTAAATCGACAGGAAAGTGTTAACCTGAAAGATTCTTCTCAGCTACCAGTATATAATTTTTTTTCCCCCTCTCCTGCTTTCTTGTTCCTACTAGTTTCTGCAAGTTGATGTACGTTATCCGTCTTAAGGGTGTGCAGCACATGGACATGAGTAGTCGGGCATGAAGGGACCTTTTACTCCAAATAAACCAGAATCGTACAGAGCATGTAATAGAACTTGGAGCTTCTCTTAACAGAGATTGGCAACTGTTGTGCTGGCGCATTTGTTGTTTGTAAAAAGCATACTTTTTACTCAGTTTTGTTTTTGTTGGATGTGCTTATTATAGTACAGTACTTGCAAGACAGGCTTATATTTGACAGCGGAAAAATGGTGACTTCAGGATTCTTTCTAATACCGTTTTGCAGATCTGGTGTTATTTTATCATGCTTGACATGTATTTTTTTTCCTTTTTTCATTTTTTTTTTTTTTTCTTTTCAAGCCTGGAAGTTTTGAGGCACTTCAACAGAAAATATAGTTACTTTCTAACCGCTTAAAATGTTAATGTTGGTACTGTTTCTATTACCCTTGGCTCCCAAACCTTTGCATCGTTTAGAAACACGTTGTCACGCTCAGCCGCCAGACCTTGTCGTACCGGTGAAATCCCGGCCGGTGCCAGCACCGGATGGATCTTCGGAGGGCGTTCGCTGTGAATTGCCTCATTACCTTGCCTGTCCGCCTGTGTCACCGGCATCGCCGCAGACCTTCCAGGTTGGTGCCTGGGGGAAGTACGTGAAATCGAAGTCAGGTTCCAACGGCGAACGCAGCCGAAGCGTTCGACCCG